GCAGGACTGGTAACTATGCAGCAGCTGCAGAACATCTGATGGATGTGTGTGTGTGTGTGTGTGTGAATGTGTGTGTGTGTGTGTATAGGTATTAGGTATAATGTGTATTAGGATTAAGATATTAGTTATTGGTCATAAATCAAATTGTTATCATAATAAATGTGGCATCTTTATCTTGTCCCCTTTAATAAGATCCTGCTAGTTTTTATTGGTATAACAGTGGCAGGTGCAGGCCCATGGAGGGATTGGAGCTTAATCAGTCTGAGAATCTGCCCCTGGGACTCGACCCCATCCCACTGGGCACTGCAGCCACACTGCCCCAGCACCAGCATGGGGCCCCTGCGACCAGCAGCAGCTCCACTGGGCCGCACTTTGTATTCATCAGAGCACGCCTGGCCGGGGGGACACGGGGGGACAGGCCATTCGCCTGGACACTGACAGGCTGGGATGCAGAGACACCAGCAAGGGGCGCACGATTCAGTCAGTCAGGGCAGCTCTTGCCCGGGCTGTAGCCATTTGGGACACAGCCCCCCCGCAGGTGAGCAGCACAGGGGCAAGGCCTGGGTTCCCCCAGAGCAGCGCATCTAGCCGGGCCTGCCCTGGGGTACAGGTTACAGGGCCAGTTCCCCGGTGGGGGTGGGTTTAACTGTTCCACGGCTGGAGGTTGCCAGGGCCAGAACACAAACGCCCTCCAAGCTGTTCTATATCCACCTCCCCCACGACGCGGGGCTGTGACGTGGACAGGAAGCTGGGATCACACTGGACTCCGCAGCCCTTCCCTGTTCCCATGGCAGTTTCCATTTCCTGTTTGCCTTGCTAAGCTCAGTGCACTGACATCACGGTTACGTAACTTCCCAGAAGCCGGGGAAGGAGTCTGCTGAGAAGCGATAAAGGCCCCAAGGCGGAAGTGAGGCTGGTGGGTGAAAAAATGTTCAGAACAACAAGACTTCATTCCAAATTTTATTGAGGTCACATTAAAAACAGAACAGGACATAGAGTCTACAAACATTTGATATTGCAACAGACACATAGATCAGGACAATAGACTTTTGGTCTTTGTGGCACCAAAATTAAATAGAAACAAAAAAGGATTAAAAAAATAATTTATCTCCAAGGTGTGTGGATTAAATAGACATAAATAGAGCAAGGGATCTGGGTGGCGTCCAGCCAAAACCTGGACAGAATGAAACGAAGACGGAGTCTTCTGCTGAGCTCAGAGGGGTGTCCCATTGCGGCTGGAGATGCTGTTCCCGAGGTATCGTCACATGCAGCGGGCTGCCTGCAAACACTTCTGGGGATGCACGTCCGTCTGCGGGCCGTACAGCTTCTCCGCCCACCTCTCAAAGGCCGTCACCATCTGCTTCACCACCTCATCGAAGAACAGGTTGGCCAAGTGAGAATGCAGGATGGACTTGAACTCAAAGGAGACCTGGCAAGGAAACACAGATCTTAACAGGGGGCTGCCCTGGGATCTCTTTGCCCGATTGCAGCTGCCCTCGACTTCTTGCAGAGGGGCAGCCTGGCAGAACCGCAGGCCGCAGCGTCACTGGGGTGGCCTGTGTAAAGCATTCACTAGCCACACACGGTGACCCCCCCAGGAAAGAAGGACTGTTCTGTGCAGGGCCAAGCCTGCCTCTTCCACCCCCGGCCCAGCCTGCCTCGGGGATTGGCCCAGACGGGAATACTCACATAGAAGTCTAACGTGCAGGTGTCTGGCTGCCCCGGCAGCCCCGGGCTAAACCGCCACAGCGTCTCCAGGTGGCTGAAGATGCGGCTGTCGTTGCATACAGCCTGCAGGAGGAAAGGGGGCTCGCGTCAGTTTCACCCCACAAGGCTCTCAGCTGATTTCAATCCACCCACACCCAGGAGTGCCCAGCAGCCAGTGACACTGAGCCCGGGCTGCTGGAGCCAGTAAGAACCGGGCTCCCTGTTCACACACGAGTTCACATCTGCGTGAGTCTGTGAACGTGGAACCGGGCTACACAGGCCGTGTGGTAACAGGCGAGCCCCTAGCCGTAGAGAGGCTGGGGCTGCCAGTTCACTTGGGCAGAGGTTCCTTATCCGGCACCCGTCCCAAGCACTGACTTATTAGTGTGACGTCCGCCTCTCCTCAGCCCTGATCTGCCTGGAACTGGACCCACACAGCTCAGCACCAGATACAACCCTGGTTTTGTCTGGCTCCTTGGAGCCCGACTGCTGCCTCAGGGGGGGGAGAGGAGCTGCATCTCACACACAGACGCTTTTCGAGAACGGGGCAGACGGGGGTCACAGCCACAAGCACGAGGCCTGGGACCCACAGGAACCTCCCAGAATGTCTGGCCCTGGGATCCCCACAGGCCCCTAGGCTCCCTGGTGGCCCCTTACCCGGATCTGGTGCTGGGGAGTCAGGGAGATTTCAGAGACGTAGCGCTCCACGAGGGGCGCGAAGCCGACCTCCAGCTCTGCCCGCGTGAGCCCTTTGCGGTAGGACAAGACCTTGGAGCTCTTGCACCACGGCACAAAGAGCTGGTAGCTCTCCACGTTGGCCACCACGTTGTACATCTGCTCCATCGAGTAGCTGGAAGAGAGGGGAGACAAGCCGCCTGTGAGCGGGTGCCGGGCGGGTGACGCGAGACAGGCAGCACCTGGCGCGGGGGTCATCAGGCTGGGAACTCAGCCACCGACCTGCACCCTCCCCCCTTCCCTGGGCAACAGGCTCCTGCCACTGCCCTCTGCCCACCGGAGACAACTCCCACTCCCAGCCCCTTGGCCAGGTCCCCCCGGCCGAGCCGCCGAGACCCCCTTGGAGCCGCTGAACACCCCTGCCCGATGGGCGACTCTGGGCTCCACACTCACCCCAGCACTCGCGCTTCCGCGTACTCCATCCGCTTGCCACCCAGCAGAGGGGCTGCCAGGTTCAGGAAGGTCCGTGCCGGGGGCTGCAGCACCTGCGTCGGGGTGACGGGAGGTCGCTTGGGGGCCTGTGGCGTGGCCAGGATCCCACAGGAACTTAAATGCCTGAAACACAGAAGGGCGGTTACAGGGGTGAGCATCAGGGCACAGCCCGGGGGCCGCGCAGCCCCTTCAGCGTGGAACCCCCCCCACGGACAGCTCAGCCCCATGGGGTCCGGCTGGGCTCAGCCCCGGGGATTCAGATCCACATCCCCCCCGACCCCCAACCCTGGGCCCCAGCGCAGGACTGGGGCTCTTCCGGCGCCCACGGTGCCCCCGCCGGCTGGGGGGCAGGACACGAGAGGACGGGCCCGGGGGTCCCACCCGAATCCGGACCCAGAGTTGGAGCCACGTAGGGCGGGCAGGGGCCGCCCCATCCCCGGGGCCCGGGACCAGGCGGCGGCCCCCGCTCCCCCCGGCCCGGTCTCGTCCGGTCCGGTCCTTACCGAGTCCCGTCCCCGGGGCGCGGGCGGCCCCCAGCTCCCCGCAGCGCCCGCAGGAACGCGGCTCCCCGGCTGCTGCTCCCGGCCATGGCTCGCGGCTCGGTCCGTCTGCGCCGCCCCTGCCCCGGCCCCGGCCCCGGCTCCCCCGGGGTGGGTCCGCCACGTGCTCCAGCGACATGTGGGGAAACTCCCACGGGGCGGGGCCGCGGCCGGGACCGCCCGGAGACGGGCCAGGGGGGGCCCTGGGCAGCTGTATGGGGGGCAGGTCCCAGGATGGGTCTGGGGCCCGGGGGAGCAGGGTGGGGGGCAGGTTCCAGGATGGGTGTATTGGGGGCGGGTCTGGGGCCCGGGGGAGCAGGGTGGGGGGCAGATCTCAGGATGGGTGTATGGGGGGGGGCAGGTCTGGGACCCCAGGGAAGCTCTATGGGGGAGCAGGGTGGGGGGCATGTCCCAGGATGGGTATATGGGGGGCGGGTCTGGGGCCCCAGGGAGCAGTGTGGGGGGCAGGTCCCAGGATGGGTGTGTGGGGCAGGTTATGGGCTCACTGGGGCAAGGAGCAGGGACACGTCTCCCTGTTCCCTGGCACCGTCTGGACACAGCCCTGGGCCCGAGATGGAGCCATGTCCTAGTGCGAGTTCGGGGGTCGCTGAGTGTGTGTGTGTGTGGGGGGGGGAGGGAGCGTGTGAAGACAGGGGGTGAATTAGAGAGGTAGCTGCCTGCAAACACCAGGGCTCATTTAGGGCTCCAGCGAGACTGGCCCCAGGGAACATCCCCAGCCCCAGGGCACGAGACAGACAATTGCTGGCTTTGCAGCCCTGGAACCTAGAGTTCTAGGCCAGTGGGTCTCAAACTTTCATAGTGGTGCCCCCTTTCACATCACAAGCCTCTGCGTGTGTGCGACCCCCCCTTGTACATTAAACACACTTTATTTATATATTTAACACCATTATAAATGCTGGCGGCAAAGCGGGGTTTGGGGTGGAGGGTGACAGCTGACGACCCCCCCCATGTAATGACCTCGTGACCCCCTGAGGGGTCCCCACCCCCAGTTTGAGAACCCCTGGTCTAGGCAAAACTCCAACCTGACCTACAGGCGGGCGGCTGGTTTCCCCGCTCTGAGCGAGGGCCGGTTGTGTAACAGACACTTGACAAACCTGGCTTCCGTTGCAAATGACTCACACTCCAAGTATGTTGGCCAGCCCAAGGGAGCGGGATTGCAAACAGCCAACATATCCAGACCTCCTGGCCCAGCTACTCTGACGCCCTCTCAGTCTGGAATTGAATTTCCTCTTTCCCTCAGCTAAAAAGTGTCCTTGACTTCCTGCAGCAGACTCAGGCCTAGGGAAGGAAAGTGTCCGCTCACTGCAGTCTGAAAGTGAGTTTTCATGAGGCGTTTCCACCAGCTCCAAGGGCTGGAACCTCTCGAGGGACGAGTGACAGCAGCATTGGGAGACGGTCTGAAACCCGCCAGCGCTGTCGCTCTGCCGCCAGCATCAGGGAATCAACGTTCTCCTTGGTTGGAGGCAGAAGGGACAGGCCCCAGCTGGGCCTGATTTCTGGGATGGGCTGAAGTTCAGTATCACTCAGCTCTGCTTCCCCTCTGGGTGTGTCTTGTACCTCACCAAGAGCTCAGGGACAGTAGGGTGGGACCTTTCCTTCATTGACCCTTGGTGACGGACCCACCCTATCCTCAGAGATGAAGCTTCTGTGACCAGAACACAGCTTGGGGGAAGAGTGCAATAGGTTTGCGGGAGGAGAAACACCCTGGTCTACTGTAGGGCTGAAAAGAGTGTGAACAGCAAGCCCTGCTCCCGCCCAGTAAGGAGCAGTCAGGGTTTGTCTACATGGGAAAGTTTGACCGGTTATACCGGTATCGCTAAACCAACAGTCGTTCCAGTATAACCCCACATGGACCCTGAGAGTCCACTATCCAAGTAAAAAGAACAGGAGTACTTGTGGCTTTTTCAGGTTAGCTTAAGACCCTTCCTAAATGTCATCAGCAACGCTGAAAAAAGCCCCTGGTCCACTGAATTTCAGTGGCAACAAGGATGGGGCATGGTGTTACTATACTGTTCCAACTCTCAATACCAAGCTGGGAGGGGTTGCAACAGGCGCCGACTTCCCCCCTGTTCCGTGGGTGCTCGACGTAGAAAACATGACCTATAAGGGAAGATTGAAAAAAACTGGGTTTGTTTAGTCTGGAGAAGAGAAGACTGAGAGGGGACTTGATAACAGTTTTCAAGTACATAAAAGGCTGTTACAAGGAGGACGGAGAAGAATTGTTCTTAACCTCTCAGGATAGGACAAGAAGCAATGGGCTTAAATTGCAGCAAGGGCAGTTTAGGTCGGACATTAGGAAAAACTTCCTGTCAGGGTGGTTAAGCACTGGAATAAATTGCCCAGGGAGGTGGTGGAATCTCCATCATTGGGGATTTTTAAGAGCAGGTTGGACAAACACCTGCCAGGGCTGGTCTAGATAATACTCAGTCCTGCCTTGAGTGCAGGGGACTGGGCTCGATGACCTCTCGAGGTCCCTGCCAGTTCTGTGATCAGTTTAAAGTCACACCTTGGCTTAAACCAGTATAACCTTCCTTCCCATGTAGACAACCCCCCAGACTCTGAAGGGAGGGGGGGCACTGCTTCCCTCCATTGCTCTTTGGCCAGAGGAATGGGGGAGGGTGGACAGGTCTCCTGGGTTCTGCCTGGGAGTGGGAATGTTTGTCCCCACACCAAAGAACATACAAGGAGAGATTAGAGGTGCTGCTTCTTATGGGGCATCTTTATTATTTGCACCCACCGATTCGCTGCTACCCTCTTGGTGGCTGAATGGTCTTTTTGATCCACCCAGGAGACCTCTCCATCCATCCAAGATCTTATTCTGCCATCAGCTTTGCCTTCCCGTGCCCATCAACCTGCCTCACCCGCTGACCCTATAACACGGGCCTTGCACTAGAGGTGCTAGTGGGAGTAAAGTGAATCTCAAATCATCAGCACCCCCAAAAGTGGCATGGAATTTAGGTCCCTCTGCCCCGTGCAGTGGTGATAGCTGGTTGAATGAGAGCAGCGCCCCCTGCTGGCCACCTGGCACAACTGCTAGGTCTAGTTTTTAAAAGTGAATTAAGCGCCTCGGTTACGGAGAGCCGGAGAGAGCAGCCGGGCCGGTTCCGGCACGCGGCTTTGGTGCTGTCTGTTGGGACAGTCGGGTGGAATCAGCACTCTACTGCAAGGCGCAGAAGGGCAGGTCCTGGGAGGCTAATGAAGGATTCAGAGCTGGCTGGTTAGGGCACCGTACAGACTCACCCCTCACAGGGCCAAGCCCAGCATCTACGCCATGTCCAGGGCTGAGAGAGAACCCAGTACATGCTGGGCACGAACTCAGCCTCTGCCGCTTCCAGTCCATCGACCCGAGGGGCGTCTACATCACCCCTTCCTCACTGCACCCTGGATCCAGGGAGGAGCGGAGGGCACGGCTGCTTTGCTGCACTAGTGTTGTGCAATTTGGATCCGTTTCCCTGCTGCACAAGAGCTCTGCACGGGGGCTTTGTAGCATCCCTATGAACAGCCTTAAGCTAACGTCAGTTGAGGCGCTGAACACACTAGGCTGGCACTGGCAGTGCTCAGAGACTGGGGAAAAGCCCTCTCGGGTCCCCCTAGTTCAACAGAGCTCGGGCCCGGTGCTGGCCCAGTGCTCAGCACCTGTGGATGCAGGAGCCTGTGCTCCACGGAGTGACACGAGGGCTCGTGAAGCTCCCATCACGAGCCAGCAGGAGTCTCCCCTACGGCGGGGAGAGCTGCGTTACCGTAGACCTGCGGCACAAATGCAGCCTGCTCGGGGACAGGCCCTTGGGCTCGAGCTGAACAGAAGAAACGGGCCTGGCAGAACAATTACCACACAGAGACAGACTGCGCAAACCGGACCTTTAACTGGCACATGCCCGCAGGGTACAGCATCCACCCAGGTCTGGCAGCCCGTGCCACCGCGGCCCATGCACTGAGAAAGGGGGACAGTCCAGGCGATACTGATCATACAAGGGGGGTGACGGCGCTCATGTCCCCGCTCCATACAGTGTAGCCCAAAGATGTTTAGGGTGGCAAATGGAGCTGGGCCTGGGCCTGGGACGTGCTGTGGGGCAGTGTTCTCTGGCTCCTGGGAGACTGCGGCCTCAGGGGGTGCAGGGAACATCAGTCACTACCTTCCTGGCTTGTGCCTCTCACTGCCCTTTGAGCCCACAGCAGGGGGCTGCCTCTTGGTCAGGGCCTTTAGCGACAGTAAAGCAGGATGCCTCTGCCCCCAGCCCCACCCCCTTGATACCAGACAAGCCATTTTAACCACCCAGCTGAGACCTGAACTGCGCCCGGCTGACTGACGATGTGCGATGCTCGAACACGGTGTGAGATAGAGTGGGGTCGAGAGCGCAGGCCCTCAGCCCCTGGCAGCAGGGCCCAGCAGTGCTGGGACTCCCAGTCTGGCTGTGCAGGAAGATGAGACGGGAGTGATGGGAAAAACCACCAGGTCCCAAGACTCTAGTCTTGGCCGATGCGCTGCTGCAGGAGGGCCCAGGCCTTCTCCACCTGCCAGAACAAACGTGGGACAGCAAGTCAGGGTTCAGAAGCAAAGAAGGGCACCAAATGCAGTTGTGCCAGGGCGGAGATGGGCACAGCCTGCTAGGGCACTGGCGCAGGGGCAGGCGTGAACTCCACTTACAGTGCAGTACGGACAAAGCCCCGAAACCTTTCACTCCTTCCAGGCTGTCTTTAGGACTCATAACCCAGCCGGGGGGCGGATCTGTCAGGGTGGCTGCAGCACAGACAGGACTTGGGGGTTCTCCCTGGCCACCCACTAACCCCTGATTCCACTGAGCTAATCAGCAATTGGGCATCTACCAGAATGCGCTGCGTTCCAAGGAGACGACCCTCATCCCGGGAAGGAAAGAGCCAGCAGCCATCGCTCCTCCATAGGGAGAGGGACACGGAAGATCTCTGGCTCCGCATCTGAGCCAGCTGTAGGGACCAGATATTGCGTAAGCCCCGTTCCACTAGAGCGGAACAACGCTCTCACCCGATCTGAGCATAACCCGGCGAGCAGCGGCTTGTCCGAGGCCCTACGGGTAGCCCAGGCAGGACTCCTATCTAACCACGTGGTATCTAAGTCCTCGGCTGAAGCCGCAGGGCAGGTAAGGCTTGCATCTCTGCCAGAGGGATGGACCCCAACGGCTCCCCTCCGTCCCTGCTGGCCTGTCCTAGGCAAGACAGCAAGCACTCCTGGATCCCCGGCCGGGGGCCCCTGGGCTCTCACCTGCTTCTGGGTAGCCTCCGGCTCCCAGAGGGTGCACAGCACAACATGGGACTGCTTCACCCTCTGGGCGTTGCTCAACTGGCTTTGCAGCCTGTTGCGAGCAGCCTCTTCACTCAGCCCATCTCTGGCCACGATGCGGCGCAGGGCCTGAAAAGACCAAGAGGGGACGTTCACTTCCAGGCGGGCACACCAGGAGCCAATGGCTGGGGCAGGGAGTCACCTACCTCCTTCTCCGGGACGCTGGCCATCCAGACCTCATGGACCATATCTGTCCAGCCGGCCTCCAGCAGCACGGCGACATCCAGCACACACACCACTTTCCCTGTGGAACGAGGCCATTCCCCATGAGTGCTTGGGAACCACAAGCGCCCAATTCCCTGGGGCTGCTCCTACGAGCCAATCCAAGCAAGCCTGAAATGTCACGCGTTGCTGCAAACGGGCAGCGCAGACACCTTACCGCGGAGCAAGAGAACCCCGTGCAGAAGAGAAAGCAGCAGGCCCCAGACTGTTTCCAGCCTAGCACGTGCACACAGGCTGGGCCGGGCCACGGGAGCGTCTCCAGGAAAATGCCTGTGAGACTAGCAATGCTCCAGGGGCGTTCCATTTCCCCAGGGAGCTAGAGGAATTCTCTCCCGGGGAAACTCACTGCTGGGATTTGGAATTACAAATGCACTCATGGCCTTTTCTGGGAGGGGGGGGGGGGGGGGCGAGAGTATCCAACCATTTCATGCAAAGGCTCCCAATCCAAGTCTGGCACTTACCCAACTGCAGGAAGATGCAGTGGACGAGCTCCCAGTAAAGCACAGAAAGGACTGAGCTGGGAAAACCTACCAGGTGCAGACGGGGGCTTAGGACAGCAGTTACCCAGGGTCCCTGGGCCGTGCGGTGGTAACAGGATGATAAGTCCCAGTCCCCTTTGGGTTCAGGGGGGAAGATCACGCTCACCCTGGTCTGCTGCTTCATTCAGCTGCCTCTTTGTCATCTTAGCAATCACCGGCCACACGATGTCCGTGAGACACTTTAACCGCTCCTAGCAAGGGCACATGGCTGGACGTCAGTTATTTGCTTTCATACGATCAAGTGACAGATTTCCTGGGTAACCCCGCAAAGGGAGTCACCCACCAGCATCCCTACTGCCCCCTCCCCCAAGGGCCCCACGTTTCCAGCTTGCTAGGTTAGCCCCCGATGGAAAGTGGTGATGCTGCCCTAGGAAGCAAGGTGCTCTCCTCCTCTTTCCTGCCCTGCAGGGAACCGATTCTCCGAGCGACTCCGTCAGTAGTAACCTGATCTCAGTCACTGCAAGAGCTCAGCGGAGAGGATCTATCACTATATAACAGAGGAAGCTGGGGAAGTGGGAGTCGCAGTCCAGGCCCCAGCAGAACGATGCCCACACAGGGCTCCCACTCAGACAAGCCAAGGAACGACGAGGTCGTGGAGACTGAACTCCCCTTCCACACCTCAGCTGCAGCTCAAAATCCAGGGTTGCCAGTCTCCCACTAGTGAAAGGAGGAGCACAGGAGCGGACCAGTGGTCCGTGTTCCCATCACCGTGTTGGTTAACTCTGCTCAGGGAAACCCCAGGACACACAGGGTCAATCAGCCTGGGCCACATGTACGCCAGCGCTTAGACCAACACTGGGAGATGTCGCCCTGGAAATGGGTCTCCCCTGGTAGGTGGCTTGGGCTGCGGAGGGGATCCGGGGATCCAGCACTGCCAACACCTTCACGCTAGGAAAAAACAGCCGGTGGGAGCCGAGGGAGCAGCAGAAGCACAGAGGGGAAGATACCGAAGCCTTGGCAGCAGTGAGGACAGGAGAGGTGAATACTGACACAGAGATGGGCGGGTTTTACCTGGTTTCCAAACACTTTGGCCCCCAGGATTTTCCTGTTAATTGTCCCATCTTCATTCAAAATGTCTGGAAGACAAAGAGGAACAGTAAAAAAAGGATCAGTTCAGATCCTCATGGGAGAAGGGCTCCCAGGGAAGCAGGAGCTGCTGAGTGGGGTCTCTGCCTGGCATTCCCTTAAAGGGATCTGCAAACAAACCCTGGCTTCTTTAAAGTGTAGAGAGGGCAGGAAAGGGCTTTTTCCTTCACCTTGAGAACATTAGGAATGTCAAGTCCAGCCTTCCCTGCTCTGGCTGGAGAACTTGTTGGCGGGCACAGCTATGGAGTGGGAGGTCTCCTGCCTTACCAGAAATGTCCTTTCTCTCTACGGTTCATTAGGCAGTGGAATTCAACAGGAGTTAAAAACAGCTCAGTGATCTTCCTAAGAATCTCGCCCCCCTCCACTGCTCAGCTTTCACATATCACGTCGCCAGGTCTCCAAGACCTGAATTTCTTATGGAAAAGACAACAGATTTTTGGACAACCTTACAGGCTCGTCTCTAAGTCCCTTTCTCCTCACCTTCAGGCAACTTTTAAAGCAGAAGGGTGGCCAACATGCTCATGGCACAGAGGCAAGGCCTAAAAATGCTACAGACCAACATGCTAGGTTTCGTCTTAATGTAAGCACCTTCTGCTTGGTTCAAACCAGAGCAGTGGTTCTCAACCAGGGGTACAAGTCCCCCTGGGGATACACACAGGTCTTCCAGGAGATACATCCACTCATCTAGAGATTTGCCTAGTTTTACAACAGGCTACGTAAAAAGCACTAGTGAAGTCAGTACAACTTAAAATTTCACAGGCAGTGATTTGTTTATACTGCTCTGTTTACTAGACACTGAAACGTCCGTACAATATTTCAATTCCCATTGATCTGTTGGATAATTATATGGTAAACGAGAAAGTCAGCCGTTTGTCAGTACTAGTGAGCTGTGACACGGCTGTATTTGGAGGTCTGATTTTGTAAGTTTTTAAGTGAGGTGATTCTTGGGGGTCCCGAAGACAAATCAGACTCTTGAAAGGGTACAGGAGTCTGGAAAGGGTGAGCGCCACTGAGCTGGAGCACTGTATGCTGGGCCCTGTGTACTAAGGATGAGGGCACCTGCAGCTGGCACCATTTTCTGCCAATCACAAGCAGCCTTTATGCTACCACAACTCTGGTTACAACACAGTCCTTCGATCAGCGAAGCTTGGCTCCCCGTGTCTTACAGGGCCCTGCCCAGCAGTTCAGGCTTCCAAACCAACCTATGTCCAAGAGTTCTCTGCCAGTAGCACCCTCTGTATCCCAAAGAGCTGTACGTTTGGTTCCGAGACACCAGCTAGGGACAGTCAGCCAACAGACACACGCTAGGTAGCCTGGCGTTTTGCTGCTTCAGTGGCCATGAATATCCAGTATAGGGACGCACAAGTTAGCGAGTATCCTGGGTCCAGGGCAAATAATCCTGGATGCTGTTTACAGCCAAAGATGTCAGTGGATAAGAAAACTACCTCCAGCACTTCACTTTCAGACACTAGCGCTCCACAGCCCTGTGAGCTGGGGAAGTGCAGGGGACGCGGACTGCTCCCAAACCAAAGGAGGGAGAGATTTGGAACTCAGAAGTTACTAAGATGATTAGGGGGGAGGGATAGCTCAGTGGTTTGAGCATCGGCCTGCTAAACCCAGGGTTGTGCGTTCAATCCTTGAGGGGGCCATTTAGGGATCTGGGGCAAAAATCTGTCTGGGGATTGGTCCTGCTTTGAGAAAGAGGTTGGACTAGATGACCTCCTGAGGTCCCTTCCAACCCTGAGATTCTGAGTCTATGATGTGTCCCCGTCACCCTTGCTGCCCCGGCATTCTATGCAGAATATGCTCGCTGTACCTTCTCCGAACTCCTCTGCCACCTGCTCATATGCAGGGCCACCTGGGGCATAGGCTTCGTGGCCCAGTTTGTCAACATCGATGAGGAAAGCTCCGAGGCGTTCCAAGTGTCTGGCAATGGAACTTTTCCCACTTCCAGTTCCTCCAGTCAGACCGATCACATAGGGACGAGAAGGCTGGGCCGGGCCTTTCTACACAAAGAAGAGTTACAGCGTCAGAAGATTCCAAAGCTACTCAGCGCTGGTGGGGGCAGGAAGGGCTGGGGAGAAGAGGCCCTGATCGTGAATCCCCACGAGCTCTGAGGATGGATGTGAAAGCTGATGCAAGCTGTCAGCTCCTCCCGGGGACTGTGAGTAGAGACATGGTCTGGTCTTGGTATGTTCCATGGATGCCCCTGAGAGGGAGACCCCGGCACACCCCAGTCTCCACCACACCAGGCTGCCACACCTCCCCCCAGACCCCAGTCTCCACCACACCAGGCTGCCACACCTCCCCCCAGACCCGCTCAACGTCCGGCTGCACTTCTCCCTGTGCTTAGTTATGGTCACAAGATCCAAACTAAGCCCAGGAACGTCACCGTCAACCTCCTTCTGGCATCAGTCCAGGAGGAGGATGCAGTTACAGGGCCCGGGGCCAGCTGACTCCAGCAACGGGCCCTGTCCAGGCCTCTCTGCTCAGCGCTCCCTTGTGTCGTCTCTATGTCCCCACTCTCATCGCCGCCCTTGTTATCTGACTCTGTTGTCTTGGTGTCACCCATTGTTGTTTCTGGTCCCCACTCACTGAGGTGGAGTAGACCAGCCACTCCCCAGGGCTGGAAGCCACACAAAACCCTACAGGCCGGAGGTCGCTTGGCAAACGGACGGGAGTGGCGGCGGCAGAGCCTCCAGTTACTATGCCTTCCTACCTGTGGCGGCTGCAGCAGCGTTCCAAGCAGCCTCTGCCGGATGCTGGAGGAGCTGATCTTTTCCTCTTCGTTCTCTCCGTGCCTGAGATCTTTCACCAGCAGGATCTCGTGGAGGGCCAGCTCGGAGAGCCCCTGCAAACAGAATGTGCAGCACAGCGTGGTCAGAGGCTGGGGAGCCACCAGCAGCCCTTCCGTCAGACCGGCCCCCCAGCAGAGTCACAGTGAAGGCAGCATCTTCACACCAAGCTCTGGAGGCCCCCTGCAATCAGCCAGCCTGTGGGCAGTTCTGCAAGGAGGCTGGAGTTGCTGCCTCCCACGATTAGTCCCCACCTGCCTGCAACTGGGCAGTGCTACAGGTCGCTGCTGGGCAAGGACTGGGGTGACAGAAGGGGACTCTGGAGTCAGGCGGGAAAGCAGCCGCCAGAGAAGGGGAGGGTCCCAAGGAATCAGGCCCCTCTTTCTACCTACAGGACACAGCTCCCCTACTATCCTTTGGGGCCAGGCCAACGAGTAACTGCCTGGGCCCAGGAGAGAGCTCCCCTGGGGCAGGCTCTTCCAGAATTGTCCATTAAGGGGATCCATGCACTGGGCACCAGCTGCTGTTGCAGAGAGAAATCTCCTGTTGGGTCCAGGGCCCATCTGATGGGGCTGGCGGTTCCTAAACGTGACAGTGGACAGAGAAACAGCCTCAACAGGGACTGCTGAGTTCCCAGGTGCGTCACTGGGGTGCTCTTGGTCAACCAGTGAGAGGAGATGACGGGAGGAAAGGGTCCCCCTTGGGTAGCTTCCCCCCACTGCTCCAGAGGGGGGTATGACTGGAGGGGCAGGGCTTTACACCTCATGACACGAGCCACAGATCGGGGGAGGTTTCTGCAGAAGGCCAACCCCAATGAAGAGGTACAGCCTTAAGGGGCAGGGTCCCCGCCATGGAGGGGCCATCTCTGTGGAGCTCAGAGGACAAAACCCAATAAACGGTTTGTCCCATTTATCCCTTCCACGCTCCATTCCCAGCTCTCTGAGTTTTCATTCTTTCCCTCCCTTCCCAACACACTTAGGAAGGACAACCAGGCCCCGAGGGGCATTGGCAGAGTTGAGGTGGGGGGGTGGGGAGGAAGCCCAGGCCTGGAACAGCAGGGGGAGTGCAGGTCAGGACTGCTGCTCACGGGAAGAGTCAAACTGGGGAGCTTGTACAGCACCTGCTGCCCTATGCCTGGCTCTGGCGAGAACTCCCAGGCCCCCACTTTCAATGCCACCGATTTCGCCCCCCAATTAAGGAATGAATAGCAGGAGGGGGTGTATTCCGCTAGGTCAGATTTAAAGGCATTACATTTTCAAGTCTCTTCTTGTTCACGGCCACCCCTCCCTTGCGGGTCTCCTCACTGACTACTATACACTCCAGGTCAGGGTCCGTTATCGATGGGCCATAGGGGTCTACCAGAGGCACAATGTCATAACGCAAAGAGGGCTTCACGTCCACCAGGAACTCACAGAGCTTCTCCACTCGTTGCTCGTATGGTTGGATCAGCTCCTTCAGCGTCTTATCTGGAAGGGACAAGAAACAGGGAGGAAGCCACAGTGTGCAGCTCCCCACACCCAGAGCTAGCAGCAAATAGTGACAGTTAAAGGAGGGGCCAACAGAGATGCTACAAAGGCTTTAGCAACCTCTGGAATGACCTGAGCCCTCACTTCCCGAGTGCCAAAGGGCATTGCGCTCCCCAGGTTTCTGGGTGTTGGAGAAAGGAGTCACTCTGGCAAGACAACAATGCTGCAATTCCTTGGGTTTGCTATCAGAGGAGCATCATCTCTGCACAAAGCAGCAGCGAGCACAGACAAGTGACTCAGCCTTGGGCTGCTTGGCAGGGAATATTTAACTCCAAGGGCAGCACATCTGTCATGAAAACACAGACGGCAAAACAGGCTCAGGGGACAGGAGCAAGATACCAATCACTATGACAGCCCTCCCCGCCGGGACATTGAGACAGCTCCTCTTTTCCCCGGAGATGCCATTGCACCTTGGCTCAGGCAGTGGGAGTAGTCTGGTGAGTCTCACTTATCAGCTCTGGCCAGTTTCCAGTTCTCAGGCGCAAACCCAAGGCTACTGCCGGGGAAGGGTGCGCGATACAAACCACCGAAAGAAGGTTTACAAAATCTCCTCCTAAAAGCCAACAAGCCTAACCGCTGGGCCTAAATGACTCTCCTGTCTCGTTAATAAATGCTGCTTCTCTATTACCGCTGTGCCCACATGGTTCAAATGTGCTTTACATCTCCACTGATGTGAAACCTCCTCTCCCCCTTCACCGCAACGAACACACTCCACCTTTAAACATCCTAGATGCTTGGACAGCACAACCACTGCAGAGTCCAAGCTGGCCCAAGGGAAACACTAGAGAGCGATCGAAACGGCTCCCTTCACTGCCATCGGGAGCAAAAGGAGTGACGGCCCGAGGAGAACGAGCGTAACTGGGGTTTTGCTTCCTGGTTTGGGACGAGGATTCTCACTCACTCTCCAGAAGATCCTTGTCAGAGACACCAACCAGAAGCCGGTTCTCAGCCAGCAGGCAGCAGGCACTCAGAAGGATCTTGTGAGCATTATGGAGTCTGTCGAAAGTGCCCCCTACAACGACATCGCTGTAACTCCGCAGAGCCCCGCCATCCAAGCCTGGCTCCCATGGGGGCAGCTCGCTTTGGTCCATCATGGGCTCGTAGTCTGGGTACAGCAGCACAGAGATAAGATTGGGCCTGCAACTGTAACAGCTGGTGGCATAACGCTCCAGGCGCTGCTTGACTGGGTTGTACTGGCCCCCATCACTGGTCTGAAAGTCGGTCAGGATCACCTCGGGCGGGTGGGAGAGGTTCTGCACCGAGGACAGCGACTGCTGTGTCAGGCTCTGGTTGCGGATGTTTGTCAGCAGGACCCGCACGTCCAGGTGGCTGTGGGTGTCAGCGTCCGCATACAGCTTGTTGATGAGGCTATAGACCTCGGGTGTGGCTGGCACGTAGGTGGACCCGGGCTGCGAAGAGCCGGTCAAGCTGAGGCCCGGCTGTAGGTGAATGTAGAGCGTATCCTCCACGATCCGGGAGGCCGAGGCCAGGATGGGCACAAGGCGCAGAGACAGGGCAGAGAGCGGGGCCGTGAGCACCAGCAGGCCTGAGCGGAAGACAGACATGGTACCTGGAACAGACACGCAGGAGCAAGGGAGGGGGTTACGCCGGTGACAGCAAAGCGTGAGCTCTAGTAACATGGCCTCTGAGCTTCACTCGCCCCCAGCCTCACCACCCAGCCCCCCGCCTCACTGCCCTGTCCTCACCACCCCCCGCCACACTGCCCCCAGCCCCCCTCCCCACCCCACTGCCCCCCATCCCCAGCACCCCCTGCCCTCACCACCCCCACCTCACTGCTCCCAGCCCCCACCCCCATCCCTATCCCCAGCACCCCCTGCCCTCACCACCCTCTGCTGCACTGCTCCCAGCCCCCTGCCCCCATCCCCAGCACCCCCTGCCCTCACCACCTTCTGCCACACTGCTCCCAGCCCCCTCCCCACCCCACTGCCCCCCATCCCTAGCACCTCCTGTCCCTCACCCCCCCCGCCACACTGCTCCCAGCCCCTCTCCCCACTGCTCCCGTCCCCAGCCCCACGCACCCGAACCAGCCCCGGCGGCGCTGCCAGCCCGGGGGGCGGTGGGGGGGGGTCGGGGAGCCCGCGGGGGATGCTGGGTAACGCCCATACCCCAGCGGGGGCGGGGCCCGCCGTCACTCACCGAGCGGCCGGGCCAGGGGCCGCCTCTCGCCGCCGCTCCGCGCCTGACCCGGAAGCGCTCCCCGCTGCCCGCCGGAAGCGGGTCATCGCCATTTTTAAAATCTCCGTTTAAATTTCAATAACAACTTTATCGACTTTGCGGGCGACCTCTGACCCCGGGCTCTCGCGAGAGGGGGCGCGACTTCCGGGGGGGCGTGGAAGCGGGCTCACGAGGGAGAGTTTGGGGCGGGGCTCCTGGAGGGGGCGGGGCTAATGAGCGAGGTGGGGAGGGGCTCATGGAGGGGGCGGGGCTAAGGGAGAGGTTGGGGCGGGGCTCATGGAGGGGGGGCTAAAGAGATAGGTGGGGCGGGGCACTTGGGGGCGGGGCTAAGGAGAGAGGTGGGGGCGGGAATCCTGGAGGGGGAGGGGCTAAGGGGAGAGGTGGGGCAGGGCTCCTGTAGGGGGCGGGACTACGGGGAGAAGTGGGCGGGGCTCCTGGAGGGGGCGGGGCTAAGGGGAGAGGTGCCCCCTCATGTCACTAAGCATCACCTGGGGCCAGGAGGACTCTGCCGAGTGGGATGGGGGTCCTGGGACCCATTTAGGGCTCTGAGCGACTTATAGACTCTGGGCTGGGAGCTGGCGGTTGGGGCCCGTGGTCCCTGCTGATCCACTGCAGCTCACCAACCTGCTCGTGCTCGGCTCAGACTCATCACAACTAACGGGAAACCCAGAGGGGGACACGGAGACTCTCAGCCAAGCTGCCTTTCAGAGACACCCCCCCCAGCCACGGGAAAAGAGAGGGGGTCTTGAGCCCTTGAGCCCTGCTCAGGAACCCCAGTTTGCTATAGAACCCATCAAACAGACAAGAAATAAACACCCTCTACAACAAAGGAACCCTAAACCCACTCCAAGAGAGTCTGACCCCGTCCTTCCCCCATTAAACCCCAGTTTTTAGCCATTTAGATGTCACAGCATTGCTGGTAACCTAGAGGCTCACCCGTTTCGTTGCTTATGGAGCCAAACTCATTGCACACGCGAGCGGCTCCTTGCATTTCTCCATTTCCCCCAACCTCCCCTTCTGCTCTCTTCAGGGACCCCCTGCAATCTCTCCCCACCCCCTCCTTCGTACCCGGGGGTCTGGGTGCCCTCCCTTCCCTCATTGCCCTTCTGATAATTGGAGTGGCTCTTCACGCCTCCCTCCTCCCATGCCCCTCATACCAGGGTTCCCTTTCCCACCTGCCAGGGATGCTGTTGTGCACCCCCATTCCTCCCACTATTCTTATTTCTTTTCTTTCTCCTCTGCTAACCAAATGCCAGGGGCTCCATGACCCCACATTTCTCCCCTTTGGGTTTTCCCCCCCCCAGTTTTTCCCAAAATCAACAGGGTTCTGCTCATCGATGCTTAGAACATTCCCTGAACCTTTGGAATTGATCAGACGTGGTATTCAAAAGTTATCGCATTACAGCCAGAGAAAGGCCCTTGAGTCACTTCACGAGGCCAATAAGCCTCTTGGGTAAGGGACTATGTTGTGTGGGGCTTCCAGCAAACCTATGCAGCACCGACAGCAGCTTTTCCATCCAACTGGAGTTGTGAGCATTAAGCTTCTCTGCAGAACAGGCCAGTAGTGTTGGAGAATGGACTCCGGGATGGGACAGGATGGTAGGGTGACACTGAGGGAATAGGTTCTGTGACAGACGAAGCTTCTCCATCTCTAACTACTGTGTCCCTGCCTAGAGATGAGGCTCTGGGAACAGCCTTTCCACCTGGCCTCAGGCCTTTCTGAAGCAGCTTCTTTCCACACTTAGGGCAGCTTTCTTAATTCTTCAGAATACATTTCTTCTCCCTGCATGACCCGGGCCAGTCCTTGGTACCAGCAGGGACACCCTACATCCTTATCTCACTAAGGAAACAAAACCAAAATACGCCAGAAACCTCTTCTGCAGCACCAGGTCGCATCCTTGCTGTGACAGGCCGCAGGACTGTGCCCTGCTCAGGTGCATGGGCCTGGGGAATTCCTGACTGCAGGTGCCTGGGACTGGGTGGGGGTTGCTATTTTGATTGTCCAGGGCAGGAGGGTGAGATCAAGGCAGCAGAAGCTGTTCGGCAGCGGGAGGGGGAAGAGCTGAAGCAGGAGCTCCAGGTGTCCCCCAGAAAAAACGGGGAGGCAGGTAGTGACCAGATACTATGGTGATGGGTGCACTATAAACAATAGGTAGATTAGACAATTATGGTGATGGTGGCTACTCCATCGTTAAGGATGCAGCAGTGTTCTCATTATATAATATTAATGCTTTCCTCACTCCCGGGAGGTACTCAGGGACAGTGGCTATGTCTTGTCTTTTCTTTTCAACACATCATTTTGAATTCCCCTGGTTGTATGACAGACAGTGCAAATCCTTCTTGCCGACTCCTGGACTGCTCTGGGGGAAGGAGCAGGTATCTCACGTGCGGAGACACAGCCAAATGGCAGCTCGTCTGCTGCTGGTATTCACAAAGAAGGTGACATGACAAGCATTAGAGAGTAGAATTTATTGAATCCAACCCTACAGCGCAGTATTGCAGGCAGAGCCCAGCAAATATAAAAAGGTCACTCGTGTGTGTGTGCGTGCGTGCCCGTGTGTGTGTGTGCGCCTGTGTGTGTGTGTGTGTGTGCCTGTGTGTGTGTGTGTGCATGCGCGTGTGCACGTGTGAGTGTGCAGCAGCACAGCAGCAGGGGAGAGTCAGTGCATCACTGTGAAGTACTCAGAGGCAGAAGCGATCGTATTGCCAAGACTCCACCTACGGGAAACGGGAACGGACGAAGGTGGAATCAGTCAGCGCTAGACTCCGGAAGGCAGAATGCTTGTAACAGAGAGTTCCTGTACATACTGGAGCAGAGCATTGTCCCCTCTAGCCAGGGCCGGCTCCAGGCACCAGCTTAACAAGCAGGTGCTTGGGGCGGCCAAGGGAGAGGGGTGGCACCTGCGGCAATTCGGGGGCGGCAGGTCCCTTACTCCCTCTAGGAGCAAAGGACCTGCCACTGAACTGCCGCCGTCGATCGCGGCTTTTTTGTTGTTGTTCTTTTATTTGGGGTGGCAGAAATGCTGGAGCCGGCCCTGCCTCTAGCCTGATATCCCGCTTCCTGCCGCACCGGCGCCGACCCTCAGGCCCATAGAGCCCGTTATTCCCATCGGCTCCAGCATCCTGCCTCCTGGTGTGCAGCCCAGAACTTAGACGCCTCTATTCCAGGCTTCTCTTCCAGCAACGGCTTATGCCTGTTAGCTCACAGCGGCATCCAACCCCCACAATGCACCTGGTCAATCATGAAAATTGTCTGGAATTTTGCATATTTCGTTTCTTATAGAACAATCACCAGGACAAGGCTGGTGTGGTGCCTGGGCCTGCCCTCCCTTGCACGGTCGAACTCGAGGGTACCAGGTATACTGCAGGTGCTTGGAAAGCAATGCAGAGGTGGGGGCCGACGCCTGTCACAGAGCAGGGCTCGAGCAGTCACCCTGTGATGGCTGGGAAGCAAACAGTGGAACAACTCTGTCTAGTTCTTGCGTGGGGTTTTCCCCCTGAGCACTCTTTGTAGACATTGCGGAGTGAAGCTTCACCCCCCCCCGGGTCACCCCCCCATCAGAGGGACAAGGCCACACTGCTAACAATAAACCCGCTGGCTCCTGGGTTCCAGTCCCATTTCCGCTCCACTAGCCCACGCGGCCTCAACTCGGACAAATGCATTACAGAGGGGACAAAACTACCTCCCCCCCGGGGCCCCCTGCGTCGTCTGTCTTCTGAGTGCCAAGCCAGCCAGTCCTGAGCAAAGACAAGGAAAGGGAGCCATTACCTGCCATCAGCTCTTCCTAGTCATCTACCCCCCTCTCGGGGGCCATCAGCTCTCGTCCTTCCTGGTCCCCCTGGTTGCGATCCCTCGTGGACAGCACGAAGGCCGGCGCAGCCTTCTCGACGTGGATCCCTCTGCTGCCGAAGTAGCTCTGCAGGGCACTTAGGAACTGTGGGGGAAACCAGGCCTGAGTCAGCGGGTGCCTTAACCACCTGGGTCCTGGTAAGTGCTGGAGCCTGCGCCACAGGGCCTGCTGGGAGCTGCTCTCAGGCCTGGGGCGAAGGGGCTGGACCCCAAGCTCACCACCTGGTGCACGAGGCGGAACAGCTCCTGGTTCTGCAAGGCTGCTGGGCGTGAGCAGCTCAGGCCCACAAACCCACTTCCCAGGCCTTAGCCTCGCTGGCGCTCACAGCCCCCTGGAACAGCCAGCCACAGGGCTCCGGTACCTCTGCCCCTCGGCGTACGTGGGGCTGCGCGGCCCGGAGGCTTCCGCTTGCTCCTTCTCTGTCCAGCAGCGGCAGCCGGGGAGAACGTTCCCAAGGGGCAGCAGCTCTGGGCTTGAGGTGTCATCTGGGGGGGTCTGTTCTCATTCAGTCTGAAGGGGCTGGCCCGTTCCGATCCCGGGGCACCCGCCTCACCCGCTTTGTCTGGCTGAGAGCCAGGCGGACGGGACGCTTAGGGCTGTGCTGAGCTCAGAGCGCTCTCACCGTAGGGCGTGGGCACGGGCCCCCGGCCGCCTCACAAGGGGACCCTGCAGGGAGCAGCAGACGGGCTCCTTGCGGAGTCAGGCTGAGGAGCTGTATCTGCTCCCAGCGTGAGGGCGACAGGCCTCGTACAGACACACGTGTTAGCCACGTGACCCTTTGCTTTTAGGCCCCCATTGAGCCTGGACTCCCCGGGAGGGGGCTTTGCCTGCTCTCCCCCAGACAATGCCTCCCGCAGACCGGGAGCCGGGCTGGCCCTGCAGGACCCGCCGTGGCATGAGTCACCGTGGCGAGAGCGAATTCATCTGGCACCGGTATTGTGGTTCATTAGTGAGGCCCTAATGGGCACTTGAAATGAAGCCTCCTGTACAGCACGCGGCTCCAGAGATGGCAGAGAAAGCCCAGGGGCCCCTCTCAAGGGCTTGGCTAATGTAAACACAGCCCAGAGGTATTTCGCTGTCTCCCCACTTCCTTTGATCCCAGCCACCCCCTCCCCAAGCCTGTGTTATGGAAAAGAAAGAGACTCTCCCCCCATATAATAGCTACAAGGGAGACGTGATCAGTTATTCATCAAAAGCCGTTCCACACCCCCGCCTTGGGGGTAGCGAGAGCCGCTTCCAGCCCAGCTCAGCTCCCGCGTCGTGGGAATGCCATGTGCCAACAGCCTCAGCCCCCCGATCTAGGAGAGAGACCAGCCCCCCAGCCCCCCAGCTCACCAGCTCTCTGTTCTGCGGCAGGTCCAGCTGGCTCCATCTCTCACGCTGCAGGGATCTGTTCTGAACCCAGCCCTGCACCAGCAGGGACAGGAGACCCAGGAAGGTGACTTGAAGCATCAGGTTCATCTCTGGAAGTAGCCTCAGCTGACTGTAACAGAAGAGAACTTGCCATGTCACGGCTCCCGAGGGCCCTCAGCCCAGGGCTGGCCTGGAGCAGCAGCAGCACCCCCCTGGGGGGGCCCGGGAGTGCACCGGGGCAGGGAAAAGCCTTTGGCACCGAAAGCCTCCCACGGCCAGAGTGGGGCAGGGCTCAGCTGGAGGAGTAACAACAGCTCTTTGCCCTGCGCCAGCACCTCCCCTGCTGGGATACCCAGCCCCAGCCACGGATGAACAGCTCCCTGTGAGGCTCTCGTGGGACAATACCGTCTTCGCTGGTGCACATGAGGGAGAGGGACTGGCCCATGGTCACACAGCCAAGCCCCTGCCCTGGCCACTGCTCCACACAGACAGGACAGAGTGAACCAAACCGAGGGCAGAAAGAGCCCCAGGCCCTCTCCAGGCCACCCACGGGCCTGGCTCTTCACAGGCACTGTCCACACGGGACTCAGCCCTGACGTGGGAGAGGTTTGTTCCACGGGGCTGGGACCGAAATGCAGCATGGCCAGAGAGATGGGACAGCGTGTTTTCAGCTGGATGACCTGGGCGGTTACTGGAGTGAACCTCAGGGCGTGTCCCACACAACCCATAGTCCTGGGCTGCGGGGCTCATGCTGTGACTTGACATTGTGGCTCGGGCTGGAGCCTGGGGTAGGGTGGGGGGCATTAATGGCAGGTCGTTTTCTGCCAAGCATGAATTCCGTCCTCAGTGGCAGCGGCTTTGCAGAGAGCGGGAGACGGTGAGCAGCCCTGCATGGACAGGGTGTGGACAGTGGCTATCCCTCTGGCAGGTCCGCTGCCTAACAGGGGTGGGGGGGGCTCCCTGGTTTTTTCATTATCCTCCTCCCGCGGCTGCTTGCGGGACCTACCTGCTTCTGCCTTTCCTGCCTGTGGGCATTGCGCTCAGCAGGGCGGCTAGCCCCAGCTCTGCGGCTGAACACCCTGCAGGAAGGTCAGCCCAGTGACGTGATTTGTGTGAGGGGCTGCAGAGGCTCTGCTGAATTATTATTAGTTCTCAGCAACTCATCCTGAAGCCTTTTAGTGGGAAAAAGTCCTAAAGTTTCCTAAGCAGAGAGTCTTTGCTAACCCTGCTGCCAGCCGACAGGTTCACCTCTGGGGGGCCCTGGATGGCAAGCGGCTTGCTTTGATTTAAACAGTGGTGAGAAGGATGGGGGCCATAAGACAGCCGTGAGTTAGCCCCGAAAAGCAGCCAGGCGACCCGGCCCCCCTGTAATTTGAGCACCGCTGCGGGGTTGATAGAGCCGGTCCCAGGAGTCCCTCCTCCCTCCTTTCCTAGGGGAGCGTGGGACTCGGATGCGCTCTGTCCCCTTTACAAATGGGGAACACAAAGAGGGCACTTACCTCTGCTGTTTCCTGGCGCTTGCAGTCCTGGATGCTGATTGAAGTGTCAGGCAGGCAGCACGTCCCCTCCTTATATACAGCCCCGCGTTCCCGGTGGGTATGTCAGAAAAGAGGGAGCCATCAAGCTGCCGCCCGCTGCTCAGGGAGGTGGTGGGTGGACACGTATTGTTAGCCAAGCAAGTTGTGTTGGCCTTTGGGAGGACAGAGACGGGGAGGTCTTGCAGTTCACCTTCCCCGCTCAGGCTGAATAGGAGCTGGTCACATGCTCCATCACTGAGCTGGGCGGCCGGAAAACGTGAGCGCCCAGTCCCCTGGCCTGGGAAAGTCAGCCGCTTGGCCCAGAGCAGGGAAGCCTGGGCTGTGGGGACAGTGTCCCTGCAACGTGCCCATGCCCAGAGAGCTCCGAGATGGGCTTTGTAAGGTAGGTGCAGGTCGTCACTGCCCTGTGCAGCCTGGCACCAGAGGGGCCCAGGCGCTCTGGGTGGCTGCACTCGTCTCCACGCCCCGAGCAACTTTGGTGCTTGTGAAAGTGAGGAGCCCACAGCGCTAGCAGGAGCCAGGCACAGCCGGGCAGAGACTGTGCAAGCTACCCACCCCTGGCTCTGCCGGTGCCCCTCAATCCCGACCCACAGACCCCTGTTATCCCAGCCCTGGGGTCCCACCCCCGGCTCTGCCGGTGCCCCTCAATCCCGACCCGCAGACCCCTATTATCCCAGCCCTGGGGTCCCACCCCCTGCTCTGCCGGTGCCCCTCAATCCCGACCCGCAGACCCCTGTTATCCCAGCCCTGGGGTCCCACTCCCCGCTCTGCCGGTGCCCCTCAATCCCGACCCGCAGACCCCTGTTATCCCAGCCCTGGGGTCCCCCTTCCCCACAGTTCTGCCAATGGACTTCATTTATGCAAACATGTAGCAAAACCGCTCCCATTGACTCAGGCCCAGGGCAGCGTGAGCCCTTTCTCGCGGCTTCAGTCCCACCGTACCAGTCCCACGGGGAGGGGGCTAGTTACATCTGTATTGCTGTAGGGAGCCTGAGCCTTTGAATGGTGTGGCTCTGGGGTGGAGCTGCTGCACCTGCCCTCCCTGCCCGCCCGCAGCAGGGGCGGAGGCAGGCGTGGGCAACCAACACACCTGGGAAGGTTGTTTTGCGGGAGAAACGCCCTGGGCCTGGGTTCGGGCCCCACAACAGACGAACAATAAGAAAAGCAGGAGAACGCCCCTGGACCAGATCCTGCCCCTGCTGGGGGTGGGGCTGAGAGCAGGGGAACAGCCTCTTCTGCCCACCCCCCAGATCCTGCGCTCTGCTTATGGAAACCCAGCCCCCCCCGACCCCTGAACTGGGGGGACTCGCTGGCCTGGGGGATGCAGGCGCTCAGACTGGTCCCTCGGGCCTAGCAACCCCTCGCCCTTTGTTGCTGCCCTTGGCGGCTCTGAAGCTGCCTGGCTCAGCTCTGCCCAGCTGGTCGAGGGCACGTTGTTTGTTTCCATTGTCCCCTCCCACGGGCTGAATCACACAGCACTAGCTGCTCCGGCGGCTCGCGTGCAGCAGCCTCTTGTCTCAGAGACGAACAAGTGGGGCTGGGACACTCCGGCTCCTTCAGGGGAGCCGCTGGAGCAGGGTGCGAATTCGCCTGCAGCGGCTCACGCGCCCATTGTCCCGTTGCTGGGCTGCACAGCGAGTCTGGCTGAGCCCAGCAGCCGGGTTTGCACAGCTTAGCCTGGCCCTGCCTGCGACAGGAGAGCGCCGTCTGCCGGGACAGGGCTGGGACCGGGCCGGGCGTTAACGAGGCACCAGGCAGGACTTTCAGTGCTTGGCCCTGAGGTGAAGGAGGGACTGGTGAATATCCCTCCCCGCCCCCGCTGATAGGTGAGTCACATAACACAGCTTCCTCCCACCCCTCTCTGCCTCAAGGACCCCGGTGACTCCGGCCCCTCCCGCCCCAGCAGGCAAGTCCAGGGCAGAGCTAGGAATGCAGCTGGCCAGAGCCTCACTGCAGAGGCGGAAGCGGACGTGGAACGGGGCCAACACCGTGCTCGGTTAGCGCCAGCCCCAGCCTGCGGTGCCAGGCTCACCGGAGTGTAATGCAACTGCCTGGCTGGCTTTAGGATAATGCACCCGCCCGGCCGCTGCACGTGCCGGCCTGGGGCTGGTCTAACGCACCCGCCCGTCCGCTGCACGTGCCGTCCTGGGGCTGGTCTAACGCACCCGCCCGGCCGCTGCACGTGCCGGCCTGGGGCTGGTCTAACGCTCCTGCCTGGCAGCAGAACACGCCAACAATGCCCAGCCATCACACCGCCGCTTTGCAGCCGCAGGTGCCAGGGGAATGCCCCCGCCCCCGCGCCCCCGGCCTGCTGATGTGTTTGCTCTGATGCCTGTGACAGGCTGAACTACAGGGGCTGGTGCCAGGCAACAGTCGCTCGGCCTCCGGGAAGCGGGACCCACCGGGGTAAATTCTGAATCATCCCAGGACATGAGCCCTGGGCCCCTGCGCTGCCTTCCCTGAGCCACTTCTGACCCCACAGCCACACAACGAGGAGCCCCAGCCCCATGGAGCGGCCAGGCCAGAGCCAGCCGCTCTGAGCTCATCTCAGAACCGGGGCTCACGCGTCTGCTTCTCACATGCCCAGTAATAAGCAGCATCTATTGCCGGAGCACCTGCCATGCAGCGGGAGCCCCGGGTGCTTTGCTGACTCCAGAGATGCAGCTACTACTGGGGTGGGGCAAAGCGGCCACTCTGCACCCAGGGCACAGCACCAGATTCCTTAGGCGGGGAAGCCGATAGTGACTGCTCCAGCCTTGGTGCGAGAGGAGCTGATACCGCTGGGCTGGGCTGGGCGGTGGCTCCCACACCACGAGGAAGCGCGACAGGATCTTCAGAGCCCAGGTGTGGTGAGGACCCGGCTGTAACAGCTCCTCTGACAGAAGGCAGCTCCAGCATCAACCCCTGCTGGGCTGCCAGTCACGCCGCCCCCAGGCTGCGTCTCGCCCGCTCAGTGCCGGGATGTGGCCCGGGTCCATATTCAGCACCTGAGCATCTAGCCCTTCTGGTGCTGAAGAAAATCATGACAGCTGCCTGTGTCTGCAGAGAGCCTGAACCAATAGCTCAGCGAGGGGTGAGCTCCCCCCTGGCCCTCCGTGGGGTGGTTCACTCCGAATCTCAGCCATGACACATCGCTGGAAGCATCGTGGAGCCCAGTCACAGAGGGGGCAGGTGTGGGGGGGATTGAAGCCCATGTGGGGGCAGATGGGAGCTGCCATGGGGGAGGACGGGTAGAGGGAAGAGAGGAGGAATGACACACACGACAGGGGGCTGGAGAAGGGAGAGAAGCAGCGAGAGCAGGAGTTTAATGGAGGGAGATTGATGCTGGACAGGACAGTCTGGTTCTGGGGCATCGGAAAGGGCACTTCTCCCCTCGAACCTGCCACGGGTGCCAGCCCCGCTCAGCTGGGGGCGGGGCTAGGAGCGTTTAGTCCCACACATATGGCCCAGCCCTCAGGCCCTAAGGAGAAATGAAATACAGCCCTCTGCACCTCCCCGTTCCACTCCTGTGCCCTGGACCAAGCTGGGGGGACGAGCCCAGTGGGGAGACCGGTGCCTGCAGCACCAGCCCCCCGCTGCAACCTGGGGGGGGGTCTCCCATGTGGGGGCACAGAGACCAGGGGGCTCTGAGGGAGCAGAGGAGACAGCAGCGTGCTTCGCGCTGGTGAGCTGCTGCTCCATGCTGACTGGCGCGTGAAGGTGGCTGTGCCCACTGGGCTCGGTGCCATGCCTAAGGGCCGGGATTCCTCACACACCCGTCGGGGCAACAGGTATCTCCCAGCGGCTGCTGGCCCAGGACAGATCGAGCAGGTGGAAATGCTCCTTACTTTAAATGCCCTGGCATGGCCTCGTCTTCATGCCCTGCTCCAGAAGGCAAGAGGGCAGGACCTCAGCGCGGCAGGGGAGACTCTCTGACCTGCATTTTGGGGACCGGGTTTAACGTAGAGACCAGCAAACTACAGCTCACACTGGGAGAGCAGCAAGGGCTGGGAGTGCCAGACCCTCCCCCCACGGCCAAGCCAGGCCCAGCGCTGCCCCAGGCTGCCGTGGGGGCTAGAGTGACTGGTGGGTTTTGCTTCCACCCGCTGCCAGCATGAGCCTCCCACGCCTGTTGGGGAGGCGCATGGGGATGGCCCGGAGTCCCCTTCAGTTCGCCGCAGCGATTGTGGCACTTAACAAGGTGTCCTGGGGTCCCCGACCCATCCACCCCCACGGCAGGCACAACCTGAGCAGTGTGCGGTGCCCCACCTCCACCCCACATACCCCCCTTGCAGCAGCCCCCCAGGGCAGCGCAGACTGCAGGGTGTAGCGCTGGGGTGGATGGAGCCAGGAGCCATGCAGGGAGCAGACACATTTATTGGAGCTCCGTGGCAGGGTCGTATTCCCTCCGGGGGGAGCACAGGCCCCCCTACAAACTCAGGGCAATACAGGGGCTGCTTCACACCAAACCTGCCCCTCGCTCTGGGACAGCCGCGCTGCTCCCCCTCACGCCTGGTCGCCCTGGGCCTCGCCTGCAGAGAACACGAACTTGTGCATGGCGCGGACGTACTCCGAGCCGTCGGGGCTCGTTAGCTTGAGCCGGGTGAGCGGCATGAAGAACTGGGTGGTGAAAGAGCGCAGAGGGGGGCAGGGGGCGCAGATGGCTTCCAGGAACACCTGGGGAAAGCAGAAAGGGGGCATGTCAGCGACAGCTCCAAGCCGGCGGTAAGACAGGGGACCCCTTGGGGGCTGGGCACCCCCTTGCTGACGGGAAGAGCAGGGCCTCGTCAGCATTACAGGACCATAGACCTGCCTGGGCCTGTATGGACCCCACCCCTGCCCGGGGAGCAGCTCCCTATGGGCAGAGAGGGCTGGGCCGGGCTCCCTGCCCCTATGCTCCCCTGGGAAAGGGGGGCAGGGATAGGCCCCAGCTGGCAGGGTGAGGTCAGGGGGTGGCTGCACCGATCACCGCTGACTCATGGCTCTTCTCCCCAGGGCTAGATAGTGCTCTGCCGGGACTGCTCCGCGGCAGTCTGGCTGCTCTCAGCCCCTGGCCCGGCCCCGCTCCCCTGGGCAGAGAAGCAGGGAGCCGGGAGCGACCTGCAGGACCTCCTCGGTGTCCTGGGCCACGTCGCGGAAGAGGCTCTGGCAGTGCTGGAGGTACTGGCTGTACAGGGCGCGGGTCTGCGGGTCCAGGCCTTGCAGTGCGCTGCCCTCGGCGTCCGTCCGCTGCAGGTTGGCCAGGAAGCTCGTATTGACCGGGCCGCACTCGATCAGCGTGACGCTGCAGGAAGAGAGAGCAGAGACGGGGAGTTGCCAGGGGGCAGGTGCCTGTGCAGACGGAGCCAGCACGCCCCACCCCGCCCAGGGGCAGAGCCCCGAGTGACACCCTACAGGCATGGACAGAGGGGCTTTCACCCCCATGCCCTGGGTACCGGGCATCTTGTGCCAGTTCTGCAATATGGCATCTCTGAGCCCATGGCCTCCAGGAGCTGGGGTGTGTGTGTGTGACGGGGACAGGCTGTGAGGAAGTGGGACTGTTCTTAATGTTTCCTCTGAATACTGGGTGGGTGCCTCAGTTTCTGGCCAACCCTCTGTCACCTAGCAACAAATGGCCAGACCCTTCCCCCCTGCAAGGGGATGCTAAAGG